CCACGGATCAAGCGGTCAGCCCCCTCTTCTCTGCCGCCCACAGCCCCAGGACACAAGGCCTGTTCGGCTAAGTTAAATACACTCGACCTCGTACTGTGCACTCGATTAATCGGCTTCGGTTCGGGTTTCGGGGTCGGTTCGGGTTTCGGTACTACACTAAGTTTTTCGGGCATCGGTGTTTTACTACTTCCCGACAAGTTGGTCGGCGTTTTACCACTATCCGACAAAGTAGGTGGGGAACTACAGTGGACGGCTCCCCGCCCCTCTCAGCACTAAAAGGTCGGAAATCACCAGACGTGTCAGACGGCGGTACCGACGGTTTCCGCCCGTCCCCACCACCGTAAGGTTTCGACGGTTCCGTCACCAAGAGGCGGAAACTCTCGGTGTCGACTTCCTATTTTCCAGAGAAAGAAGGGTGTCTCACCTATACTATCTTGGTATCGAATCGCGGAACGACCCGAACGCCGGCAGATACACGTCCTCGTATGGAGAGGGCGGTATCAATCTCCTCGCGGGCACGGCGCAAGGCAGCAGGACGGGCTGCGGCGACAGCACCGAGCTGTGCACCAGCGGGGTGACCGCCTGGAGACGACGCACGTGGCGAAGAGTCGTACTGCAACCGGCGAGATGGGTACATCCCCCGTGACGACCCGGACGGGCCAATCCCAGGAGGTTCGGTAGGCGAGGGAGAAGAGAGACGGACAATGGGCGTGCCCAAGGAAGAGGGCCAACTACAACGAGAGGCTGACACGCGACAAGTCGCGCAGCCGGAAACAACCGAATTGCGAGTACACATGGCCATGATGCAGACGCGAAAGACTACAGCGGTACTTCAAACCAAAAGCCGAAAATAACAACAATGCAACGGATCTCGCACCCAGGGAAGAAACAAGCGCCGAGGACGCCAATGTGATACTCCGTATTCGTGTTCTGTTGAATGACCCAATTACCCAATCAAATGCAGAGCAGTGCGGCTCTGCATTACCAAGGTTCTGCGCTAGGTTCGAGGTTCTTGTCTCTTATGGATGCTTGATTGTCTTTGCGGATGTCGTTGAGGAATGGAATTGACAAATAACTGTTGAGGGAATTTGCTGTTGATTCGTCTCTCGGCGGCTGCTGCACTCAACACAGCTGCATACTAACACTGCTGTTGTTGTTCAACCTATCCTCGCACACACATGCTGAGCTCAACCTCTGCCTAGATCTCTGCAACCGAACTGGTACTCAGCACATGCCCACTTGACCATTGCCCTTGCCCGGTTAGCTCTCTCTTCTCAATTCATGCACGGCAACGCGGCTACCAAACATTCAAAGACAAATATGCCAATGGCGCCGCAACCCGGGGACACAGCCTAAGCATCCCCTGAAACGAGCCTACTTCGTGCCACAGTACATGTTTAGGCGGTAGGCGGTATTGCCCTTTTTTGCGGTATCGACTACGGCGGTGGCGGTAAAACAAAAAAAAAGTGGTAATCGGCGGTATTGCCATGTGGCGGTAACAATTTTGGCGATCGGCGGTACAGTGGGGGCCCCGGTTTAGCGACCCCTAGTGTCACGACGACATATGGTCGCTATTCAGGGCATGTCGCTAATCTCGGTTCAGCGACTAGCTGTCGCTAAACCGGGAAAAAGCGTCATTTCGTGGAACTAAAGGCCGTGGTGCAGAAATTTTCTTGACCGGGTCATGTGTGCGTCGTATTGCAGCAGTCACATGAAGGTAGTGGAGAAGAAGCACCCTAGGGTGGACAACCGGGGAGTAGTTCCAGTATGGAATGCATTCCAATCAACCAGCAAGCTTGTTGTACCCTCCGAAGTTTGTAGGAAATGTCTCAACAACAAATAAATGTACAGAGGGTGCTTTGTGTCTTTCCCGCATGCTGAACAATCTGTCTCTACATGTACATAGACCAACACAAAACAACCACGTAAAAGTAAGTCCGATCTGCGAATTATGAAAAAACAAAGGTGGGAAAGGGGAAAAAATCATGGCAACGTCCCCCTTCCACCTACATGGAACGGAGAAAGTTATTGAACGCCCAATCGGCAAAGAACCTCGCGCTGCTAGTGACTTCGTTCTGCTACTGTCGCGTGTACCGATCATGTTAATAAACTAAATATTTCTTATATGTCCATCGGTCGCGCTGGTTTCGCGGAGTGTGCTTCGATGAACAACACCTTTGCCGTGCGAAGATAGTACGCTGCCTCGCTTAACCCACACGACTCCGAGCACTCTTCTGGCGATCCAAAATGCGACGAAAGCTCCGAGTAGGGTGGCGGCTCCATCACTTCCCCAACCCCGTACCGCCATCTCTCCATCTACCTCTATCTCTCTTTGGGTTTGGGTGGATTCGAGACGGGTTGGGAAGCCTGCATGTTCTTGGATACACACTCGTAGCAGATGCGGTGCATCCATCGATGCTCCACCTCCTCACACATTTGGTGCAGGCGTCCACTTCAGCCAACTTGGTAAACATGCCCTGGGGTGCCCGCAGTTCAACATCCGGCTGTTTGCACCACTCTCCAATCGGCGCACGGCATGTTGCGTGTGTGTACGTGTCCGCGGTGTTGTGTCTTTGTGTGTGGAGGAACACGGGGTCTCCGCAAAATTTGAACCGATGGTCGTTATTGCCTGGTGAAAACAGTTCAGTAAGTCGCTATTGAGGGTTCGACCGGTTTGGCGACCACATGGTCGCTAAACCGGGGTGCAGCGGTGTCACGAGATTTGGGGGTCGCTATACAGGGCATGTCGCTAAACAAAGGGTCGCTAAAGCGGGGCCCCCACTGTTGTGCGTTTTTCGGCGGTATCGACTTTGTTTGGTGGCGGTAAAACAAAAGAACGGCGGCATTTTTCCGGCGGTAATGCCATACGGCGGTAGCGTGTTGGCGGTTGACGGTTTTCGCGGTTTTCGACGGTATCGACTTTGGTGGTGGCGGAAAAACCGGAAAACGGCGGTATACCGGTACCACGGCCCACCATGTTGGCGGTATTTATACGGAGTAAAACCCTTAGATATGTATGTGATGTGTACGCCGCGTCCCGTGCCCCATGCGTCCCTGTCTCCCTGTCCACTCAATATGTCAAAGGGTTCTCCCGAAAACGAAATCGAACCAAAACTCCAATAAAAAAGAAGCACTTTGATATACATGAAAAAAATTAGAACAAATGACACTGAAAAAGAATCAACGCGGAAAAGAAAATTAGTTACGCCTGGGCTCGAACTCGTGACATGCACTATGACTCTACCATTATGTTGGATGAGGCAAGGTCTCTACGCGCTCACCAGGGCGGTAATGTAGCTATATGGCGGTAATTTCGGCGGTATTGCCATATGGCGGTGGCAGTTTTGGCTGCCGGCGATAATGATGTTGCGTTCGTCGACGATATCGACTTCGGCGGTGGCTGTAAAACAAAAAAACGGCGGTAGTGTTTCGGCGGTAATGCCGTACGGCGGTCGGTATCGTGTTGCTGGCGGTTGGCGTTTTTCGCGTTTTTCGGCAGTATCGACTTTGTTTGGCGGTGGCGGTAAAACCGAGAAACGGCGGTAAAACGACGGTATACCGGTACCGCCCACCCCTATTTTGACGGCGGTATTTATACCGAGTAAACCCTTGGTTAGGACCCAAGAGAGCGAGCTCGTATTGGGAAAATTTATTCACAAATATGAAAGAAAGACCATTCGAGATATAACCACAGTCGAACTGGATGTGTTGGAGTCTTTGCAGTGACTGGAGGTAAACCGGCTGGGAACTCGTATGCAATTGAAAGACTCGTGTTTTGAATACAAGGTGGAAATGTCGCTGTGTATGGTGCTCGGAAAATCGTAGAAATACAGGTACAGCTTGCGCTGACGCTAGGTTTTATTGCTAGTCTCATCCTTTTGAGACTCTTTTCTCTTATATGGATATCTAGAGATGGATGGATTCGTTGTGTCACCTTTCGAGGGTAAACTATTACGAAAATAAAACACGTGCTGGCGGCAGGCAGACAGACGGATACAAGCCCGAGTGAGGCATTGAACCATGACATTGTTGTTGGTGTTCCACCTGCTGCTTTGGCTAGTAGTATGAACGAAGTAATGACGGCCCGGCCCGTCCATTGCATGCCGTTCAGTTGTATTGCATATTCACATCACTACACTATTGCTGCCTCTTACCGTACATCGCTGCCCTCAACTGTGCCTCCACAGCCATTGTAGCGTGGCCTATTTTAGAGTGATCGAGGTGGTGTACAGCAGTAGCAGCAGTAGGGGGGGGGGGTTGTACTCATTATCGTGCATGCCGTAGTCGTTAGACCATTGACCTCGCATCCCTACGAAGCCGGGACGGAGCACGCCGGGTTCTCACCGGACCAGGCTCTCACATCACCAAGCGCGAAGCGCCGTGAAATATTNAGGGTTCTCGACCCCGCACAACATGATCTACTCGACCACCATTATGGTGGGTTACCGCCGAAAAAAAAAAACGGAGGTAATAAGAAAAAAACAACGGTAACCTGGTTGCCGAGTTCACGTCGTGAATTGGCTTGTGTTACAACATCGTTGCCAAGCGACGAAAACCCAATCCCGATGGCAAACACCGGGGGGGGCGGCTTGTTTTACAACGTCGTTGCCAAGCGATGAAACCCCAACCCCGATGGCAAACACCGGGGGGGGCGGCGGCTTGTTTTACAACGTCGTTGCCAAGCGATGAAACCCCAACCCCGATGGCAAACACCGGGTGAGGGGGGGCTGTGCATTCTGGGGGCTGAGGCTTGATTATGCAGGTGTAGTACATTTTCATCAAGAGCAAGAACAAACGCGTTTTCAATTGTTCTTTTAACACTATCGTTTGGTTGTAGAACCCCCCCCCTCGAGGCCGTCTGGAGGGAGGTGGCTATCATACGTATGTAGGTCTGCAATCCATAATATTTGTGCACCCTTGGCGTACTCGCTGGCCAGTTAGTTGTGCAATACTCCAAGAGATAATACCCTTCTTCGTCATTCCTGTTCGTCCCACTCTAGGCGACCTCTTCGCGCACCATTGGCTGTGATTCTTGCATCACGTAGTCACTCGGTGTACATAGTACAAGACACTCGTATGGCGTGCCCAAAGCCAAGCACTTCGAAGGTGTGCGCTCCGTGCGAAGGTGGAAGCGAATCCGGTTTGCAGGTCTACACCACACAAGAGCTGGAAAAGGTTCGTCGTCTTCTGCCTGTCCCCCCCGCTCGCTGTTCGTTGGACTAAGCAGTGCTTTTTTTGTTTCCAGAGTTCACGCGCAGGACAGCAAGTCATACACTAGTATCTCACAACGATTGATTACACCTAGTTTTTGGGAGAACATGTACATCCTCGGGCCTATGGATGTGTGGCTAGCACATGCTTCGCACAGCTATGTGCGTAGGGAACCGATTTCCCTCAGTAGGAGTAAATCCGTCTGCTGCAAGTATTGCGATGGTGCCGTCGCGTGTATTCGACACGACGCCCGCCCCTTACTCTCACCAAATCGCGATGAGAACTGGCAGGGTGAACCAAGTTAACTCCCTTTTCTGTAAAAATTGTAGCGTTATAATCATGCGTAGCGGGTAGGCTGGGGCGGCAGGTGAACGACCACGTGGATAGTGCCAAAACGAGACAGAGGGGGGTGCCTTACCCGTTAATAACCCCCCTGTCTTATCCGCTTCGAATCAGGAGCTGGCATCGTTACCGCTGTGGACATCGACCCCAAACGGAGACTTCATCGTCCGATCGTTCGTCGCCAAGAACTTCGTGTCCGCAATGGCGTTCCTCAACGAGGTGGCGACCGTGGCGGAGGAGCAAGGTCATCACCCAGACCTTCACCTGACACAATACCGCAACGTCGAGATACGGCTGCAGACGCATTCGATGGGAGGTGAGGGGCACGAATGCTTTGGCGGCGAGCGTTGTCTGGGCCCTGTCGTATTCTTAGGAAACTCTTGTTTTCCTGTTCGTTTCAGATATTTTTCGCCCCCTTAGCGCGTCCACCCGACCTCGAGAGAATGATGTACCAACCACATTTTGTGCCCCTTATGTTCGCGCTAGATGGGCTTGCCACATCGACAAACCAGTGATCTTCTTTACGCCCAAGTGTCTTGGTTCTAGGCCAGCGCTCTCGTGGCTTATTCTCCCCCCCCGCCTGGTCGTGCTCCTCGACATATTTCGCCTGACTCAACAAAAAGGCGTGACCCAGAACGATATTGCGGAGGCCAGGCTGTTTGACCAACTGTCGGTGACCTATTCGCCCAAATGGCAACGAGAGAACCTACCAGATTCGGCGACACCACCGACACCAGCACCAAGCACTGCGCCTTCGTCTGCGGCACCTTCTTGAAGCGATCTTCTCAACATTTGTATTCCCCGTTGTTGTACATACCAGGAGTAGTCATGGCGGAGGTGGTCGTGTTGGAGTAGTTGTTGATTTGGGCAGGCGTGGTGTTCATTCATGGAGCGAATAGGCTTAACTTTATTTCGTCAATAGTTGACCTTCGGGTTATATCGGGGTCTCTTTGGAAGAAACTCACTTTGTGATGTTGGATAGAAGAGGAGTTCACGGTAATGAATAAGCGGCAGGCGATGGTTGCGTGCCAAGATATGAATTGAAGCTATTCGAGTGATTCTTGCTCCAGCCAACACCACGTGCGGTCTTGGTCGCCGATGTCCCACAGTTAGCCTGATCGCGACGGTATCTTATTTTCGCAACCTAGTTGCAGCTCGTGACAGTGTGGGCGAAATAGACCTTCAAAAGTCCCGAGGTTCGGCTATGCGATCGGTAGCACTTGAGGCCTTGCCTTGAGACCTGCAACCTTCCTCTAAGAAATGGATTGGTTTATCGTGCGCCTGGTGGAACCGGGAATGTTCGCGGAATAGCCATGCGAGCGACAGGCCGCACAACCGCCCCAGACTCGTGCAATGCGTGACATCTTCTTCTTGATAACCTTTGGAACTTATTTGCTGTTGGTTTGATAGCCTATCGAAGCTCGCCTGGAGCAGAAAGAACGAAAATCAGATTGCAACATACATGGTGCGCTGGGAGGCGGGCGAAATCTAAAAATTGTGGCGGCAGCAGTGCCATGACGTTGATTGCCCAGCCGGCTTAGCTTTTGCCGCGGTGGGCCACACGACTTGCTGAGTAAGTCACCCACTCTCGTCAGCGCAGACCAAAAATCATAGAGTTGGTCGACCCTTGGGTACAGTTTATTCCGCCAACCCACGCACACGCGCGAAACAGTCGTTTACTCCGGGTTGAACTTGTAGTTCGACCTGTCTGTGCTACAAAGCATCAACACAAGTCTTCGCCCGACTTGCCCCCAACAGGTGCTAACAGAAACCACAAACTCCTCACTCGTTTTGGTTGGTTTTGACGCACTACGCGGTCTCTGACGAGGCAACACTAGAACCGTCTCCGCGCCAAACTGCGAAGACCTGGTGCACTAAGGTAGGCGTCAGCTTGAGAGAGTCAGCATAGTCGGCGATATTCCAACGGGAGAGGCCTTCTTCTAGGAGTTCTTCCTCCATCTCCCTGAGGTGCGAAAAACTTGAAGCAGTTACCTCCCTCCGCTCAATCACGGGCATGGGCGACAGTTCGAACCCACCGTCTGCGAGAACTTGGGCGACGTCTGGGATGCTCAGCCTGTCTCCTCCGACTAAAACCTGCCGAACCCACGCTTCCTCCGTATCGGTCTCTATCTCGGTAAGGGCCTGCAACGCAGAACCTCCTCCAACAGATTGGGCGACCAGTGCTCTGTTTCGCCCAACTTGGAACGTTGTCGCCAGGATCTTGCCCAACAATAACGTGTCTGCTGCCCTGCTGGTGCTGGTTCCCTCCACAAAACTCGTGGGATTTTCAACGGCCTTCCTACTTCTATCGCGAGGTGCCGGTGCTGCTACGCGGAAAGCCAACTCCGTAGAAGGATTCTTGGCGAAGGCCCAAGCCCTCAGATGCGCCCCCGGTGCGAGTCTGCGACCGAGCAAGGTGAGGAGTTCAGGGTTGAGGACGGTGACACCTGCTGCGCCCGTAGCGGGGCTCCTGGCGTTCTCGCTGTTTCTGCCGCCACTCGAAGAAAGAGGCCCCCCGATGTCCACGTAGTCGAACCTTTTTATCCCTGATGCGATTGTGCGGATCGAGTCGGCCAGTGTGGAATACATAAAGTCAAGCTGGATGTGGCCGTCAGCGGCGATGCCGAGTTCGTTCGCGCAGCCCGATGTCACGGGCCGCACGGCCTCAACGACCGAACTGTCAGGGTGCGCGAAGGTGACTTCGGAGCGCGTCGAAGACAGCTGAAGCAACAGCAACACGAGCCGCAGAGTCTCTTCGTGTTCGAGGCCGCCTCTCCCACCTCCGACGCCTCCTCCTCCGAGCAACAGCGCCCGGAAATACTCGGGTGCACTGTCCGGACCGATATCCGTGACAGCAGTGTCTACCTGTGCCGCGCTCATGGATGGCATAACTCCAGGAATCATTTGCTCGTCAAATTCTAGCCAAATCCGTGCCTCTCTGACTAGCTTTCCGCAGTTTTCGGCTGTGAATGGGGACACCCCAGGTCCATTTGTGTCGCGGTCGTCTCGATCACTTGCTGTCTTGGACGGTTTCTCTGGGGTTCCGGATGTTGGTTTTGAGTCAGCTTCTCCATGGATGCCGTTGGCACCATTCGGTGTGGAATTGACCAAGGATCTTCGGGCAAGCTCCGCTGCAGCCTCGTCGGAAGTTTTGGGCTCGGTGCGGTGCTGGTGCTGTTGTTGCTGATACTGTTGTCCTTGTTCTTCGTGTTGTTCTGGGTTCTGCTCATTTTGTCGTTGTACTTGCGTGCCTTGCGGTCGCTGCTGCACTTGAGGATGCCATACCGTAGAAGATCTTGTTCCCGTCCCCCACGTCCGAAGCAATAGAGCCAAAAGAGACTCTTCGCCGCTGAGCAAAGTAAGGCGTTTGATTTCCGCTACATCCAATGCTTCCCGTGCAATGGCCTCTTCGAACCACGACTCCAGGCGGTCGATGTCCTCCGGAGTGTCCACCATGACGCCGTCCGTGCAGTGGGTCCGGTGGTGGCGCACAAGATACCTGTGGCGGTGAACCTCCCCCCCCCCGGGGACGATTTGTAAGGTTTCAAGAATGCAACGACTCCTCGAAATGCGCTTGATGGGGTTCATGGAGCAACTGGTCTTCTTTTACATGGCTGCCACCCTCTTGGTTTGTGCGTGAAAGGAACACTGCTTGGAGAAAAGTTGGAGTATTCTCTGTGAAACTCAGACGTCAGCATTGCTTCCGACCTCAAGCTGCTCTTTAGTGCGCTGGGGCCGGTGTACTCTGTTGGTTATAGTTTTCCTCTTACCAGCCCATCGTAAGCAAGCCCTCGAGCGAATCATTCCCGAGGTCGTCCGACTCTGACGCAATAATCCTCTTCGAGATGACGTTGGCCGCCTTCGAGTTCCGACCCATTCAGCGTATCACCACAATCAATCGCAGTAAACGCGCAGCGCGGAGGGTTGCTGGTTATTCTTATGGCAGCGTGGAGCGCTCGAGGGCTGCAATGAACGACAGCTCGATCGAGGACGCGATGAACGACACAGCGGAAACGGAATGCTCCACCTGTGGTAAAAGACACGCACACATCGCTGACTTATTCCAGAATGTTATGAACAAGGTTTTTCTCGGGTGCCTTTACGTTCCACGCTTCTGCATGCCTGCGGAAAGGATGAATTCACTTCAACATCTACCGCTGTAGATTGATTGCACTTGACTCATCCGGGAGCACGGGTCGACTTACGCGACGTTATCAGTGTGATCTAACGGGAGAGCTTCAAGACATCTGCACAAAAGCACGCATCAAATCTTACGCCGAAGCGCGTGTGGTGCGAGCACAGGAGGGTGAAGATCGTCCCACACCTGGGTCGGTAAGAAACACTCGAAGGTGTAGAAGTAGGCCATGGCCCGACCGGCCGGGGGTCGGTGCACAAGCCCCTCTTTCGCCGTGTCCCAAGCAGCGTCGAGGGCGTTATCTGAGGAGAAGGAAGCCGAGACGATGGGGCAGTCCGGGCTCAACGTCCTTCGGGTTCAGCTTAAAAAAGGAAAAACTCAAATTGGCAAGGTCGACCGCGTTGAGGTTGGTGCCAGAAGGCGCTTCGTACAGACAAATAATAGATTCGTAGCGATGTCACGAAAGCCACTAGTTTCGCGATATAATTACAGATGTTTCTCATAATGGTGCGCTCTGTAACTTTCTTCAACACGCAGGAGATCATCTTCGACTCCGATGTCGACAGAGTATGAAGACAAAAAATAGCAACAATACTAACCCTAACCCTAGATGTCTATTACTATTCCGATCTGCTGCGCGTGCCTCAGGTGCTGCCTGCTGAGGTTTGTAAGCACCGTGCCTGTGTTGTGTCTCGTTCACCCGCGGCCTGAATGCAAAAACATGGCCGCGCAACGAACGAGATGACGTCTGGCGCGGAGTCGGAAGGCTGGACATCGAACGCCGCCACTCATAACCACATCGTCCTCCGACGGACGAGGCCGGTACAACCTACAGTGTAACGCGCGAAATGCTACTGTAGTCCGATTCCTTTCGGTCCTACAACACGATGTTTGACGCGGACAATGCAGTGCAGTGGAGAAGCTTACTGTCAAGGTACAGGCGGCTGAGGAAGACCAAGCAGTCGATGCGGGCGCGGTCGTACTCGATGCATGATTTGTACATCTTCTCCGCCTCCTCGCTGTCGCCGACGAAGTAGTGATACCCGTACGAGAGCCAGCGCTTTGATCCCCACACGAACTAAAACACACGACGAGCGGGTGTTCGTGTTGTGCGGTTTCGTGCAGCAAAGCGCGAGCGGGCACTTGAGGGCTCATTGGACAAATGAAGCAATCGTGGCGCACTTTCGCATCAGAATATGGTTCGCCTCCAAGGAAATTGCTATCGGCGTTGAGGTACAAAATAGGCATAATTGGCATGCACACTGCAACACCGCTTTGTACTGCCTATGCTTCTGACGACGCGGTGGTCGCGTGTTGCCAGGATGTTGTTTGCGAGATTCTGGGGTGGTTGGAGGGATGGTTCCGTTAAGTAGATGGCGGCAGAAACCCACTTCGGCCGCGATTGTGCTCCTCGCCCTGATATGTTCCCGGTATCATCACACGCGCCAGTCCTCTCCTTCGACATAACCATGCTCACGAACTCACCTCGGAATTCGGAGTTTCCCCATGCAGATCAACAGCCTGGCGGAAGTAGGACATTCCGTCCGCGATGAAGGCCTGTATCTCCGGCGTTTTCGTATGTGTGCCCTTGCCCAAGAGAGACTCAATGTACGCGAATTTTGTGAGACCTGCCCCGTAGAAACGCCAAAATACAGCAGAATACCGTGCGTTCGGGATTGGCTTGTGCCCCTTCAGGTAGAGGTCAATATGCGTTCTGTATTTATCGTTTTCAAGGATCGAGTTGCGATGCTTTTTGATGTTCAGGGTTTTCGCTGCGCTGCTGCCGACGACATGTGCGTCTCTCTTCGTCATCGGTCACCCTTTCGCGCAGCTTCGCTATGCTACCCGCGAAAAACTCCGAATGCCCTCGATCGAATCGACTGACGCCGCCATCATCGTACAGCCTGTTCCCGTTTACATATGCAAAAAATGCTGTATGTCGGCAGGGTAGCGATTGTTGGTACTAAGCCTGCATGGAACGGCAGTCGCATGTGGTGAAGTGGCTGATCTGATGCGAGAACTGGACACTTGTAGCTCAATAACTTGTCGTTCACTCACCGAGGTAGAAGAGCGTGTGGAGATCGGTCGGGTCGTCTTCATAATCAAGTTCAAGGAACTCAAGGTCAAACTTGAAACGCTGACAAGGAACGCGCGTAAGGGTGAATGTGACAGAATTAATGAGAACATATCCGGAGCTGGTTGTGAGTGCGTCCAAACGGGGTGTGCATGCCTCATCTGTATCTCGTGCTTCGTGTTTTGCCTATGACCACGGAACGGGTGAAACGAGAATGATACTCCGATGGATGAGGAGAAAACGCCGTCGCTCATGATATCAGCAAATACTTTGGAAATTCTCGTTTGTTTGAAGAATGGCCTGCCGGTGACAGGTGTGAGGATTTCTTGCCTACAAAGTGAACGGGTAGACAACATCCAGCACCCGAATGCGTTGACCTATGTGGAAAACCTGGCCCCGAGCGAAATGAGCAAAACATAACTACTATTGACTGAGCATGTTTCATCACCAACTTTCATCAACACCGGCACAGCACGTCCTACTATTTTTCAACGCACCTGGAGCATTCTGCAAGAAAGACTGAATACTGTTTCTCATGTTCGAACCTCGCGTCAAAGACCCACTGATGTTGTGAGTGAAGGGTGGGCGCAACTACTGGACATGGCCTACCTCGAAGCTCCGGCTGTGCATGTGAAGGTTTGCGTTCCAGTTGGAGTCGCTCTCGACCACTCGCACCTCCCAACCGACGACTTTTGGCGGTAAATCGCCCACAACAGAAGCAGAAGCATCCAGTACCTCATGGATCCTGATTGGATGGTTGTTCATGTTGTGGAGTTGATACTACTGTGCGAAAACAGATCCCGCGTACGGCCATTGAGCACATGCATACAAGGTAGTTGTACATGTGATTTTCGGTTTCATTGTACTGTGGTAGCCAGGTGCACGGGGTCCATGCGTTGGAAAAAACGGCACAATCAATGCTGTGAGCGCTGATTCGTCCGCTGCTCGCTACGCTCAATAAGTCACACACAACATATTGCTCATCTGCGAAAAAGTTTTTTACGCGATGAATGGCGCCGGTAGGGTAAGTCCCGTTCGGCCCGGGGAACGCTTTCCCCTGAAAGCCGCACCGTTGCTGCAAGCAGCGAGGAAACCGCCCTCCCCAAGCAATCTCACCTCGAATGATGAACCCATCGTGCAAGGATGATTTTCAACAAAAAGCTCGCTGAGCATTTCGACAGTGTACGAAGAACCGGCTAGCACGCCCCCTTGCACCTACCTGTACTTAAATATCAGATTCTTGTCGAACCGATGCAGCCACCCCATGAGCCTGCTGGTGTGCCCGCTGTGATCCCAGACAAGGAACGGGAAAGATCCGTGAACGAAGTCAAGCTCGGATTTGTCCACGGTGGACAAGTCCAGTCTCCAGTCCGCGTCCGCGACGATGACGTGAGATGTGTCGGGGAAGTTGTGCGCTGTCGAGCGAAGAACGGCGTTCCGTGCTTGGGCGAAGTCCACAAAGGTGAAGGGGAAGACGAACCTTGTGAGGAGGGGAAACACCAAGGAAATGAAGGGATAAAGACGCGCGAACGCGTTCTGAGTATGTCGACACGATTTATATCTGTACGTGCCTTGTGTTTCGAGTAGATAATCTTTTGACTGCAGGAACAGCCTTTGTTGTGCAAGTGCTCGTACCCCCAGATCGACTTGCACAGCTCAACTGCTGCTCCACAACCGAGAGGACACCACAGAAAACGGTGGTTTCGGAGCGAACTCCTCTAGTCTTGAGCCTTCCTTAGATCTGCATCGTCCATTTCTCGCATCCTCTTGGTTGGGGAGAAATCGAGCTTTAAAGTCGGTTCACAGGGGTGGGGCGATATATCACACTACAGTACTACGGGCATTTGGGCAGGCATCAACAGTAGGAATAGGAACTGCCTCGAATGTTTGCGAAGGACACTTTATCTTGCCGAGATCTCACGAGCATGGCAGCCTGCCCGGTGGTGGGTGAATCCTGAATGCTAGTCTACCACTACTCTGGGTCGCCTGCTCGGCCGAATAAGTGATAACGATGTATGTGGACTGCAATCTACGTCTACAGTAGTACGTGGATGCGGTGAATTGTTGAACCCGGAAAAAAAATCTGCCTCATGCTTGTACCGTAGTACAGTGCTGACATTTAGTTGTTGTGCAGACGCCTACCGTTCGACAGAGTTAGTTAACGCTTTTTTTTTTTTTTTTCTTAATATGCACGTACCTTGCCCGAGTACCCTTGTCCACGTTTGGTAAACCCCACACTTGAAGAAGAGACACACTTCCGCCGGCGAATGGTTAAATCATTCGTTCAAGAGACTCTGACTTGTGCGTTCAACAAGGGTAGAATCCTCGACCGACTGTATTCTCCAGGAACGACCGGTAGACCACATTATTAGTCTACCTCTTGCACTCTGTCGTGTGCATACCCCGCGCGTATAACACACACACGCCGCAGCGACGATGAGCGAGCAAGGAAGGGGACAAAACAATACGCTCAACTGCAAAGCACCCCACATGACACAAACAACCCTTACCTCGCTGTCTTGTCACCAAGGACCTGTTGAATGACCATGTTCGTCGCGTCGCTCGTGCGATCATCCACTCCGATGACGAAGCAATCGGCAACATCGAGCCACAGAGGCAAGTTCTCCCTGAGGCTGAATTCCTCGTCACGGACGATCATCAAAAGACA